CGTCAAAATAGTGAAGGGCCCTTCCGATAATCCAGTCAAATGGATACACTAAGTTAACACTACCCATTGGCAGTATTCATGAGCTGGCTTACAAATTATTTAACAGACACCGACCACGAAATGAAAACCTTGCCATGTAGGTGAAACTTTGACGATTATATGAAAAGTGTGGACTTAAACGCCCTGTGCGTGATGCACTTACGACAACTGATAACATTGGGAACAATCAAATGGGAGCAGATTGAGTTCCGTCACAAAATGTGGATTTTCAAAAGCTCAGGGTAAATGTATCCAGTTGGCAAAAATTAAGCTGGATATGAGGCAGTGTCCTTCATAGTTTAGCTTGCTGAGACAAGGGGAACGTTGAGGACCACAGCTATGATCTAATAACTATCATTTTAAATAAAAAGGCATTAGCAGGTGGCTTGATTCAAATAATTCAGTCCTGGATTTCAAACGATTTTACAAATTTTCGATACCCGTCACTGCATATAAAAATGTCATTTACTGAAAACAAACGCAGTAGGTGAATAAAGTAGCGACATGATACACCGCAGGAAATTGTTGCGAAGAATTTAAGATAATAAAGGGTTTTACCCAACAGAGTAGATGCGAAGTCTTTTGCGGGTGATACATAATGTTCATCAAGGTAAACTCCTGACATTTTAATAAAAAGGCTTTCATTTTTTTAAACTAGCAGTCCATCTTAGGCGCACCAAACATTACAATTTTTACAGGTCTTGAAACCCAAAATTAGTCAAATGACAGATAAAACGTACTAAAATCCAAGGTCAAATTAATGTGTAAACACGACTTACATTGTGATCCAGATGAGTGAGGTAGACTAAGGTTTCGCGCATGGTTTTGTAAAGGTTTAAGCTGTCCGTATCCTTCATGAATTCGCGAACGACTTCGCCGTGTTCATTTTCCACTATTAGCACCTCTTCTGGGCGCGCCATCCTGGATATTAGGATAGAACGAAGCTAAAACACAAGCTTTAATAGCCTTACTTGAAAGCTACCTTCGAAAGCACAGGCGCAAACTCCGGTTTCGTCAATAAAGACGAATACAGCGGACGGCACGCCAGAGTGGCTTGTGTGTACAGTTCCGATACGAAGAAATTCCAGTACTCCAGACAAATTTTGAAAACCTCTTTGTCCTCAACCTCGGATATAAGCAGCAAGTAGCTATAGGCGTCGCCCAGGTGTTCAGAGATTTGACCGCTTTCAATGAGAGAATTGTGCGACTTGAGGAAAGTGCAGTAAAAAATAGCAAGGTTCTGAATAAAATTTTGCTCATCAGTCATCCCTTTGTCATATGCCTCACGCATTTTCGTACTCAATGGAAGCATCTAAAGATAAGCATGAGAGGGGACAGG